TGTGATATACAGTGGATGACTGTGGCGGTGATCCACGCAATTTGAGTGGATCCTGTGGTATGTTGATAGTACCCAGCCTCTTAACAGAGGCTCTTGGAGATGGGGAAATGCCAGAGGACCTTCGTGCCATGGTCCTGTTGGAGCTTTTTGGGCACTTAGATGTTTCTATCTGCTCTACATTTATTGGAAATAAAAGCAAACTGAATTATTTCCCACAACTCCCAGTGGTCAAAGAATTGCTGCACTTGCTTTAACTTTTTTTTTTTGAAAGCCGAATGATAAGGGTCACTATACTGCCAGGAAAGTGCTAGCACCCTCGCAAGAGCTGCTGATGTGGGTGGGGCTGCATCCCTCCACATCGAATGCCCCAGATTGCTGTGCCTTTGATTTTTCAGTTTTTATTTTAATATATTGTTTTCTCCTCCCATGACACAAGTGTAGCTTGAGATGATCTTAGGGGCTTTAGATTGGACACAGATGGGACTACCTACCACCACAGTTATGGAGAAGATCAGTGAGCCTGTCCAGTTCTCTTCCATCCTTTCTATCTGGCATGGGAAAGTCACGTTGGACTCATCAGCCTCTTCACCCTAATAGAGGGGCAGGCCTCCGCCACAGGCCATGCCATAGGCTGGGACTGAACTACATGCATCTGTTCCATTAAATTCACTTCTGTGTTTGCCAACTGCTTATGGAGGAAATGCTGATTTTATAATTAAGGAGTGACATGGAATTTCTTCTAAAATAAACTGATTTAGTTTCCAAAGGAATTTTGTCTAAATAAAAGTAGTAGTATAGGTAGAGAGAGAATAAGGTAAGACCAGCCAGTCCGATTCCCAAGTTGGGAAACCCTGACTTTTCCCTGAGAGAACTGGGTCTCAGAGCACAGCACACACAAATCCCTTTGGGGTGCTGTTTAGTGCAGATCTGGAGTCAGTGGGTCTGGGGAGGGGCCTGAGAGTCCCAGGTAAGGCTGATGCCTCGTGGGGCACAGAGCAGGGTTGATCTGCAGGTAAGCATCAATGGAACCAGCAGGAAGCTTGCTGGGAGTGCCAACTCCCGGATAGCCCTTGTGTTGGAATCTGCAGGTGTTTCCTGCACATGTTAAAGCTTAGGGACGTTTGAACTTTCACAGTGTTGCTGGTCCTCAGTGTGGAATGAGCCTCTGGTGAAGAGGTAGTGGAGACCACACCTCCACTGCTCACTTAGAAGCAGGATTTCTGTTTCTTAGTTTTCATCCCACTTTCAAACAGCACGTGGAGGGATGCTTCCAGGTCTGGTCACACCCTCTCCTGGAATCACCTTCCATTGCCTCCAGAGCTTTCCATTCCACTGCTTGCTCTCCCTGCGTCCATGTGTTTTGTCAAGTTCTTGGTCCTCTGAGTAGCTGCCTCACTGTCTGGATTCTCTGAGGCAGACGCTTTGGCTGGAGTGTGGCTGGAGGAGGGACACTATCTTTCTTAATACTGCTGCTCCCAGAGGATATAATTTGCTTGACAGATGTGCTCTGGCTGCAGCTACTTGGGGTAGGGTAAGGGATTGTGAAAAAGGATGGGTGCATCAGGCTTTAGAAAAATTACACGAGGAACATGAAACCTGAGAGACAGAGTGCGGGTGGAAGGAAGCTGCTCAGAGGTATGTCTACGTCCCTGGCTCTATGTGTGGAAAAAGTGAGGATCAAGAGAATGGAGCTGTGTGACCATTATAGTTAATGACACCCCATGAGTGGCAGGTGGTGTTTCAAAGGTGACCATATCCTATACATTCATCTGCTGCTCTGTGGTGGGACTCTTGCCATGCCCATGGCAAGAGGTGGAATGGATTTCCTTCCCTTGAGTTAGAAGTGAGTCTTAGGTCAGCTAGATTCAAGACTCACTCCTAACTAATAGAAGATGGTAGAATGGTAGACATGACAGTGTGACTCCTGCAGCAAAGTCAGAAGAAACCACTTAGTTTCTCTTAGGACACCTGTTCTAGGGAAGCCAGTGGCTTCACCTGACTACCCCCAGGACTGCCATGCTGGAGAGACATATGGAGGTGCTCCAGGGGTGGCTCCAGCTGGACTCCCAGCTGACAACTCTCAGCTGATAGCTGGCCTGTGGCAGCTATCTTGATGGGCAGCCTCGTTGAGCCCTCAGGTGACAGCAGCCCTGACCAATGCCATGTGCTGTGACCACATGAAAGATTCTAAGAACTGCTTAGCCCAGCTCCTCTCAGTTACTTGATCTACAAACTTACAAGTGAAATAAAATGCTTTGGGGTGCTTTACTATGTAGACAACATAACTGAAGTATTCCTGAAACTTTCATTATCACAAGTAGACTACATGATCTTAAAAACATTTTTCAAACAAAATTTGTTGTATGTCATTAAAATGTTTCAAGAGCTCTTGGAAGAAGGTAATAGGCTGTCACAAAGTCAAACAAAATCCTTAAAAATGTCTAGTGAAAATATTCATCTGTAGGCTAAAGGAATATTATGCTGGTGATAAAATAGTAAATTCTATTCGTGTTCTGTTAGGCATCTCGCCTGTATTCTTTCATTTAATTTTCTATTTAACTCTGTAAAATGTGCCCATTTTACAGATGAGGAAGCTGAGGTTCAGAAGTATTAAGGGAAGGACCCCACACCCAGAGCTGGGATTAGAACCATGATAGGCCTCATTCCAGGGACTGTCCTGCAGAGGCTGGAAGAGCTATCAATGAGGAGAGTTAAGTCACTGAGCCTCCTCTCTTTGGAGACAAGGGAGAGGGACCCATAGGGATCATTTAATTTGTGCTGGTGATTCAGGGCCCATCATGGGAGTGTTTTAAAATCTGCATCCTCAGCCCTGTCCATAATGTCTGTAAGCCTGGGGTGGGGTGTTCTCCAGAAGGGTCTGACCCATCGCCATTGGAGGCCTCTGATTTAGTTAGGCTTCCTCTGCGCAGGTGAGAACACGGAGGCCCCAGGAGGAGAAGTGCACCACTCGCAGCACAGGGCTGGGGTGGAGAGCAGCTTCCTGATGCCCAGGCAGGGTGCGTACTCCCATGCTTCTCTCTGCAGGAAGCACGGAAGGCCAGTAGCAGAAGTTCCTGTGTAAGGATTCAGGGCTCTCGGTGTGCTTGGGATCAGACTCTGCAATTGACATGGTCCAGGCTCAGGGTGGGGAGGACCTGGCTGGGCTCTGTGATGGTGCACTGCATGGGTTCATTTGGTCTCCAGGCAGATATTTAGCAAGTGACTCCCATGTGCCAGGATGAGTTGCTGGGAGCACAGTGGTGAGCAGAACCATCTCACTACCTCTTTATTCTTGAAATTACAGAAATACACAGATTTTTAGGGCTTGGAACCTCACAGTTAGAGGAGAGGACACAGAGAAGGGGAAAAGGAAAGAGGAAAGCAAGACGTGTACAGGGAAAGACAGGATGAATTTTAAGCTTCTTTTAAATACACAATAGAATTGAGTGTGAGATTGATCAAGTTGATAATATTACTGAGAAGCTGTCCAGAGTCCCAAGGAGAAGTTAAGTTCAGCAATGCCTGAATTCCTACAATGGCCCAGCTGTCATAGTGAGCTGAGCTACAACCCTGAGTAGCCCTGCCCTCTACACCCTCACAGTGTGGTTAAGCTGAAGATGAATCATGATCGCACAACATATCAAGACTAGGACAGAAACCAAGGCTGTGAGATACCTCATCCTGGCCGGGGCCCAGGCTATCTTCATGATAACTCCCTGACCCCATTTGCTTAAAACTGAGGACTTTCCTAGTACCCAATACTTTCTGTGCTAAAGGCTGTGGGGAAAACCAGGACTGTTGGCCACCCTAGTTAATTCCTAAAGGAAAAGATAACTGGCTTCCTCCTCTCTGCCCAGTACCCATGTGTTCCTCATCTTGGTTCATGGTACCCCTTTTCCTGGAAGCACTAGAATAGCCTATCCACTCTAGCCACAATCATCTTTCACCTGCATGTCCTTCCATGTGCCCTTCTCTTGGCCACACTGCAGGCATCCCTTGCCTTTCCTCCTCTGCTGTGTTCCATCCTCTCCACTGCCATGGCTAGCACTTTTGCTTGGATTCCCCATGCCATTTATAGAATATGTCATTGGCTCAAAATCAAAATTCCTTGGTCTGGCACTCAAGACTTGGAGTTTCTTGGTCCTGAATTTCCCTCTGGTTGTGTCTGAAGTCAAGGTCACCAGGTAGAGATTGGCCTAGAGGATGCTGATGGCTGAACTCCAACAAAGCAAGCTTATGCAGTCTCTGCCCCTCTCCTTACAGTTTCTCCCTTGGTAGAGACTGCTTTTCATTGCCCAACCAGGGCAGATCCAACACAAGTGGCTCAGTGGTGTGGATTCTCATGACATGAGAGTGGGTTCCCAGCAGATGAAGAGATGAGGAAGAAAATTGCTTAAAGCTCTTATATCAGCAGACTTAGAATACACCCTGTTTCCTTTTCTCTTTCCCTTTGTTTCCTCTTCTTGACAGTCCTTCCTGCTCCAAGCTTCCATCTTTTCATTCTTTTACTCTGCCCCCTATTGGAGGTTGTGGCTGCAGCATGGCACCATCTGGGTAACATGAGATAGAACAGGACAATTGGTGCTCCAGTGGAGACATTTGTTTCCTCACTTTTGGCATTTTTTCCAACTCAACCTCATTTCCTTACCAGAGACTGTGCTGCTGGCCTGGCTTTGCTCCCTTCTGAGCTACTATATTACACGCCAGCCCTCATTCACTTTAGAGATGGTTCTTAAAGACTCTTTAGGGCAGCCTCAAAGCCATCTCCTTACCCAGAGAGTTGATCCTTGATGGCAAGGGATGAGAGAAGAGTCTGAGTCTCTGATTCTTTGTCTTTCTCTGGTTATAATGGGTGGAGAAGCATCAATAGGAGCGACCTACTCCTCCTCTTCCCCAGAAGGCTGATGCTCTCCCCAAGGGTGAATAAGAGTGGCCTCCTTGGGTCTGCCTGCACCAGCAGAATGCTTAGCTTTCATCTACTTTTCTTTGTTTTATTTCAGTTTTACAGAGTTTTTGGATCCATTCCAGAGAGTCATCCAGCCGGAAGAGATCTGGCTCTATAAAAATCCTTTGGTGCAATCAGACAACATACCTACCCGTCTCATGTTTGTAAGTACCATGATTTCATGGCTGATTTGACCTTTCTCCCAAGTATGAACCAAACAGGCTTTCATTTTGCTTTTCTAACTCCTGCTGAAGAAAGCAATCAGCTTGGAGTAAAAATAAGGAGAGCAGCCCATTAAATTATCACTCATATCCAGATTATCATGGCCACTGTTTGGTCACGTGAGAAATTGTAATTGCCTAACACCTTGGAAAGAGAAGGGACTCACTTGGACGATACTGAGTTATTTCCAAATATTGACAGTAGAGAAAGACTAGAAGCCAGTGGCAATAATTTCTTGTCCCCTCTCCTTTCAGGATAAGCCTCAATTTTGCTAAACCCAGGCACCACAGATAGCTTCATTAACCCTTTTTCTGGTTCGAAGTAGTCAGTTGTTGACCACTGATGAGATCGCCCTGTGGTTTAACCTTTGGATAGTGTCTTGTGTCTCTCTCCTTCTGGAATAAATGGGCAAACACTTAAATAGCTGATGGGTGTATCAGGATTGCTTTTACCTCCACCTCCTGCTGTATGGAAGTTGCAGAATTTTACTCCTCACTTCCTGATGCCAGGCTTTTTGCTGAGAGTGTAAGGAAGGATTGCCTCACTTGGTTCCGACGTGTCATTATTATCCACATGTTACAGGTTCAGAACTGCAGTCCAGAGAGATGAGGGAACTTTTCTTAAATCACACAACTAGTGAGCAGTGGGGCCACATTCAAATAGCCAGCTTAGAGCTCTGTTTTCTGCCACGAAGCTCCTCTGTAGGTTGGGAGCAGAGTGTTCAAAACTCCTTGCTGATGTTAATTAACCCCTGGAGACTTGCCATTGAACCTCTCCTTTAAGTTCTTCCCACTATGGAGCAATAATGGAACTTTTGGTTGGCTAGCCTTATGGCTTAAAGGTTGATTCTGTTGGTCTGCCATTGTGCCTGTGCCTCTGTGAAGTGAGGTGACTAGCCCGGAATTTTCACAGAGCACATGAAGACTATTTCTGCATTTTTGAAAGAAATCCCTCTGGTTTTATGAAGGAAGCCTTATTAACTAATGATGATTGAAAAGATCTTTGTATCTGCAGAGTCCAAAATACCATGGACACTAAGATATTTTCACAATTACTTTTAATAATTACTTTTCTGCTGGAAAAGAACCTAGATTTATGTAAATCTAAGTAAATTGAATATATCAAGGGTAGGTGGGGGTAGGACAGAACCAGTACCCAAGTATTACAGTGAATTTTTTCTATTTCTGTTCTAATTTAAATTCCTATAAATCCTAGAAGTGTAAGAATCAGTGTGTGTCTCATGCATTTATAGCTTTAATGGGGGGCATCTGTTTATCATTTGTTCTTATTCTTCATAAGATTTTACATCTCATATGCTGTAAAACATAATTTGGAGATGGATGTTTATTGGAGATACTATGAGAAATCTGTGGCTGTGGCCTAGATTATTGAACAATAGATTATTTTGAAGACTAGGTACAAATGCCACAAATACTCTGGCTATACACACAAATAGGATGGGCAATTTGCATGTTGGCAGAGGTAGGAATGAGGCAGCAGAGAAGCTATTCATTGCTTCCATTCTCAGAGAATAGAAGGGTGTTCAGCCTCACACACTGATTTATAATCTTTAATCTTCTAGTGAAAGAAAGTCAGCCTTTTACTTTGTTAATAGTAATTGATGAATTTCATGCATATTTGGTCACAAGATTTAGTTTAGCTCCATAACAACACAAGGAAATCAGTGAATACATTTATAATACCTGCAATACGAAGATGGAAAATACTTTGTCATTCTACAAATTAGATTTGTTCTCCTGGATTTTATTAAAAGTTTAATATAAGGTATCATTTGTCAGCTTTTGATCCTCTAACTCCTTCCAGTGTTTGTAGAAGAATGTTAAGTGGAGCATATATTTTCACTGATATTTATAATAACTTGATTTCCCTTGAAAACTCACATTTCATTACTTCACACATAAATGAAATCCTGGACCTCTTTACTTTGGGTTGGAATGTTTTCTAACTTTCTCACCATGATGTGTTTTTAAAGGCAGCTGTTGTTGACCCAGATGTTTCTTTATTGGGCAGTTAGTGCCTCTAGAGTCATAGGGGTATGTGGGCACGTGTGTGCATGTGCGTGTGTGTGTGTGTGTGTGAGGAACCAGTTGGTCAGATGTATCAAGAAAACTAACAGAATACTGGTTAGTGATTGAGTTAAGTGTGGTTAAGTGCAGAATCAATGATAATAACATATCAGGAAGCTCCCTAACTCCCCCTTTCTCTGCCACTTCTTCAGCTCAAGTGGTGGGTCTGTGAACATGAAAGCCAGGTGTGGTAGGGTTGTGTAATTCCAGCAGCCTTTCCCCTGATGATGCAGTGTTTCTGCTGACCAGAGAGATAGGCTGAGAATTCTGTTCAGATGCACTGAATCTTGATGTAACATTTCCTGGGTATTCCCAAGAAGTTAGTCAGCTTTATGGAAATCTGCTCTCTCTTCTAAAGAGGTCACGGTTCCTTGCTGAGCATGGGATTTATCAGAGCATATTTAAGACACCTACTTTTTTGATGTAGGACAATTCCATTGACTTTGGTTGTTGCTTTTTAGAATACTCTTTGTTGATGTAGTCATCTCTTTGCTTGTTTGGAGAATATCCAAGGGAGTCTGCTGTAGGTGAGGAAAGCCACAGATGCTATAGAGGATGAGAAGTCCAGTCAGGTATGAGGTCCATTCTTAAGGACTCTGTAAGATCCTGGGGACAAGACAAAGAGGAGACTTGGGTAAACTTCCAGGGGACTTCATTATCTCCATCATCACAACCATCACCATCACCACCATCACCATCATCACCAAAATTACCACCATCACCATCATGACCATCACTGTAATCACCACCAGTATTATTACTGCCATGACCTTTACCACTGCCACCATCACCGTCATTCCTACCATCTTCATCACTGTCATCACCACTGCCATCATCTCATGACCATGACCATCACCACCATCATATTAATTACAGTCATCGTATAAGCTACCATGAAAGACAACATTTCTTGAGGGCAGGGACTGTATTTATCACATGACAGGCAGCATCTCAGTTAATATTTCCCAAATCCACTGAGGTCACACTTTTCTTGACCCCATAATTTCAGGATGAAAGCATATAACTTGTCTAGTGTCTTGTCCACATCTGTCAAGTGACTGGACCAGGACTAGAGCACTGGCTTCCAGGACACAGTCTTTCATTGGAGCCAATCTGCTGTAATGTTTCCTTGAGGACTTGGGTGAGGCAGTGATAGCATGTTACATATAGAAGAGCAACTATGCAAAGACACAGGCATGGGAGAGAAGAGGCCATGTGGGCCAGCAAACAGGAGTTTGTTTCAAGAACCTGTGGAGGAAATCAATGTGAGTCAATGCCCTCCCTGTATAGCTATCCTTATCTCAACCAGCAAAATCCCTTGTTCCTTCCTATTATTGCTTATACTCTCTCTACAACAAAATTAGAAATAAGGGCAAAATAGTTTCTGCTGGGTATTGGGGGGGGAGAGGGAGGAGGCGGAGT